GACTGCACGCTGCACGCGCCAGCCACCCTCTCCTGGATCAGGCCTTTCCCAGCCGAGCTGCAGGACGCGGTCCTGACGGCCACCGGCGACGGGAACGCGGTGCGACGTTGGCCTCAAACAGTTGGCGTTGCTTTTCATCCCTCAAAACACACCTTGTGGCACTGGTGGTGCTTTCCGTCCTGCCTTAGTGATGTTCCTGGGTTGTTAATTGAAACCGGTTTCTAGGTTTATGTCAGACACCGCTGATCGCAGAAATCCCTGAATTCGTTCAGCTGGAGCTCAGCGGCTGGTGGGATATAGTTTCTGTCGTTCAGACTTGCTTCATTCACAACGTGAACCCGGAGGCTCTGCCTTGCTGAAGTCTCGCCATATAACTCATTGTAGTTAATAAAGTTATTTGGCTTTGGAAGTCCTACAAAGCGTCTTATAAAACTCAGCTAGGTAAGAAAGCAGCACATATTACACTGCTTGCAAAACACCCAGAGGAAAAAACGTACAGGATAGGTCTGATTTCATAGGAAGACTACATCAGTCGTAAGACCGGGAGCTGAAAAGTGGGGTAAGGCTGTCCAAGCTCGTGTGGATCATGCGCTGACCCCCTGAAGCAGTGTGAAGGTGGCCAGTGACAAGGCAGTTACTGGTGCTCATTAGGTAACGCTAATCCCCTGTGCTTTCAGGACACTACACCCGACGAGCTGCTGTCTGCTGTTATGACAGCTGTCCTTCAAGACGTCAAGCTTCGTCCTGAGGCCCTGGGAGATATCTGTGTTGGTGAGTGAACGATTTCTGTGCTGCCGTGAAACTCCTCGTTCTGGATAGCTCCTTGGAGTGGGCTGTTCCTTGTGTCTGATAGGAGACTAGCGGGTAGTTGGGGTTTGGGAGGGATTAATGCTGTAGCATTAGGTTTATGGAATTAGTACATCCTTTATGGCTCTTCTGTTAAGTGTTGGGCTCTGATATAGGTGTCAGATGATACCAGCCTGTGGTGATATTTACATCCCTTAAATGTCTACAGCAAACAAAAGAGCTAGGGAAATGCACCTAATTGACCGGAATTGTATCTTTGCGCTCAGGAAACGTGCTGCAGCCTGGAGCTGGTGCTTTGATTGCAAGAATTGCACAATTTCTAAGGTAAACTCTCAACCAGATCGAGGCTCCTTCTTGTCTTCTCAGGCCTTGGCTACCGAGCAGCACTGGGTCAGAGGCTGCGATAAAGCTCGTGCACTGCTAGGAAGTTAAGGCTAATCAACTTTGGCCTAGAAATTAGACTTGGATCGAGAGTTCAGAGATTCCTGAAGGGAGAAGCAGGGCAGGCAGTGTTGTGAGGAGCTGCCTTTCCAGACAAATGTTACTCCACGTGCTTAGTGTATTGCTCCCCTAATCTCTTCATCAGCGGAGCAGGGGGAGCAGCAAGGGCCAGCAACTGAGGTAAGAGCGATTCACTCGCTCCTGGCAGCCTTCCCAGGAAGGCAGAGTTGAGGTGGATTAATCTGTTCGTGCTGGCCCTTTGGGTGGAAGATCTCATTTTTCGGGTCCCTAACTGTACCCGCTGCTGTTCTGTACTGCAAGGCTACGTGCTCGGTTTGCTCCACTTGGGCCTGAAATTATGGAGTTGTCTCAGTTCTTTCTGTTCGTTTCCCAGTGTGATGGTAGGTGGGTTTGTTTTGAGCTGGGTCCAGCTTCCAAATATTCCGGTCAGTTTGTATTGCTAAGTGACGTTCCCTTCTGCTAAATCACTGTCGGAGGGATGCAGACGGAGTCCACCAGTAAGTATGAATGCTGCAGGACCTTTCAGCGTTTCTGGACCCTACCTAAGCTTTTACCTAGCTCAGTAGCTCAGGATCTGGATGTGTAAGGGGGAGCTGCTTACAGAGAATTTTGCTGAAGACAGACCTGTGGGGAAACAGCATGCTAATCCACTTACAAATTAAATTTTGAAGTTATGTGACCTTTACTTTCTCTTGGTGCAGGACCAGATAGGTCAAAAAACATATAATAGGATCGATCTTCATCTTAGTCTAAATTTCAGGGTTAAAGTTTAATTAAGCAGCTTAACATTGTCTTTAGATGTGCAGCTTGTTGTGCGATTTTTGTTACTGAATCCTTGCCAATGCTGTCTTCTGTTCTAGTGGTATCCCAGAGACCGTACCTTGCGCCAGTGTTAACAGGCTCTGCTCCTCTGGGTTGCAGGCTCTTATCAATATAGCTGGTAAGTGAGTATTGAGTGTTACGGACACTCAGTTCAGATTCATTGCACCCACCAGCACTCATTTCTTCTGTTGGAGGTTTGTCCTCCAATCTCTTTGAGCAGTAAAAATGGTGATAATTTCTTCTGCCGTTATTAATTTTCATTGTGGTTTTGGTTGAACCCTTTTATGTCCTTGAAACCGGAAGGAACGTTTCCACTAAGGGTCTCTGATTATTCTCTGTCAAAGTGGTAGCTAAAATATCTTGTATACGTTCATAAGTCTCCTCTGCAATTTGTCCAAAAGGAGAGGCTGAGTTTACACCTAGAAAAATAACCTTGATTTTTCTGAGGATGAGTTGTACTATTGTTCTACATTGGGCAGCTTCTAATACGCTCAGTCCTGTCCTCTCCAGTTGCATGTGAGGACATGATTAGTCTTCAGCCAGATCAGTTCCTTGACCGGGCTCATTTTCCAGCAGGCGGGAGTGAGGAGGGAAGGCCCCTTTCGGCTGTAGCAGGTGCATCAGATGTTCATGAAAGCGCAGCTGGAAAGAAAGTGCTTTTATTCCTCATGATAGTAAAAATGTTTATGCAATGCTGTTACAGGTGGCATCCGAAATGGGTCATATGACATTGGCTTGGCCTGTGGGTAAGAAGATCTTTTTATGGCACTTACTGAGGCTTCTTGAAAGTAGTAATTTGTCCTTCTGCATCAGCTCTTGTATGAGGGATTATCATTCCTCATATAAATATGAGAAATCCCTTCCAAGCAGATCTCTGTGCACCCCCCAGGAGATAGATACTGTCCTTGTTTAACAAAGGGTTGAATTAACTCTGAAATTGGGGCCTGAACTTAAGTGATGGCTGCAGATGTGATACATGCATTTCCAGATGCTTCTGAGTACTTCTCAGAGAATTGGGTCATCTGAAAGGGTGTGAGGGAGGGTACTTGAAAATCCTTTAACTCCCTGGAAGTTTTGATCTTAGTGACATGTCTCCTGGGGTTGCAGTAACACGCTGTTCAATCTTGGCTCTTGCTTAAGTATCTCTTAGAAGCATGCAGAAACCCTATTTTTTATCATTTATGTCCCTGCTGTAGGGTGCCATTTGTGTGCAGAGCTCAGACAGCCTGAAAGAGCCTGTAATTAGTGCTTTAACTAGCCTCCTATTAATGGAAGTCGTTAGAATCCCAGGAGCGATCTTGGACAAAAAAACCGTCCTGTTTGTGCTAATAACCATTGCACAGTCTCGTAGGAGACGTTCTTCTGCACTGAATGGGAATGCTGTGCCTCCCTTCTGTCCTACAGTCATAGGAAGCATTTATTTTTCAGAGGATGATATGAGTGTTAGGTTGGCTTTAGAGAAATACTAGTGACCACATGCACGTTCGCTTCAGAAGAGTGAGTTACAGAAAGTAACTGAGTCTAAAGAAAGTCCGGAGGCTAACGTAGTAGGTTTCTTGTTTTCTTTGCTTCGGTGACTCTCAGTCTTTCCTGGATTATTACCACACACAGTCACCCTGTAGCCTTTAGAACAACTTTTTATCTTTACAATGTATTGATAACTGCACGTATCAGGCTGAGCAAGATCTGGTGCTGCTGAGAACCCCTTTTCCCCTCTTGGACAGTTATGCAATAAATGGCTGAGCAAGACAGGCGTGTTTTCCTGATGTACGCTGAGCAGCTTGGTGATCACGGGGGACACTTCTGTTTGAATGTGTTATGCTTTTCAGTCCTTCCCTTTGCTTCCTTGTTGCTTGGCAAGATCCACCAAAATGATATGCTGAAGGGTCCTGAATGGCTCTAAGGGTTTGAGATCCAGCCCTTGCACCTTTGAGCACACAAGGCACTGGGTTTCACTGAGGGAAGTTTTCTTGCCTCTGTCAGCTGCGCAGCTACAGTAGACGTGGAATCCATCATTACAAATAGTTTTTGTGACTGCTTTTTATCCCAAGTCGAGTTCTCCCCCCGAGCAGACTCGCTTGTACTCTGTACGTGGAGACATTGCATGACTTCCAACGCAAAATGCATTAGATGCAGTTTGATCTAATTTAAGGCCTGATTCTGTACCCTCTACTCGGGAGCAGATGCAGTTGAAGTCAAGTAATACAGTGGCCTAAGTTAGAGTTAGTATGCACTATCAGCTATTTAAGCTGCTTGGGGGAAAAAGCCTTATTGTCCGCTTGCCTTGCATTTTCCAGGAATATCTTCTCTTTGTTAATTACTCTTTCTGTATTAATGTACACAAGCATGGTGCAGAGTATAAGTAAATTCCTCTTCTGTCTTGGACTTCTTGGTGTAGCCTGACTTTACCAAAACTTACTGGTGTTAGGTGATCGCTTTGTGTTTGTGCAGTACAGTCTTGAATGTGTTAACTCACTTGTAGGCCAAAGACTGCAGCCTCTAGCATCTCAAATTCTTTTTATTGCAAAATACAAATGACATAACTTGTTAAGCTGCTTCTTCTGGTTTGCCTCATGCTTACATTAATATACTGCCAGCCAGTTTTTAAGCTGTAACGGGTATCTTTATACCAGTGATAATTTCACTGGAAACTCCAGCCCAAGAACCTTAGGTTTCTCATTACGTTTGGAGACGAGAGTGCCAGAATAGTTAGCGATTCCTTCGTAGGCTGTGAAAACACAAGAAATTAACTGTTGACGTTGGTATCCTGTTCTAGTAAAGCAAGGAACAATTTAATCTGGCAATCTGTTTTCCTTTCTTGTTAATACTTATATTGATGATTGAGCAGCTTTTGTACCTGAGCCAGGTTTTAATTACCGTCTGCGTTCCTATGGAGTAATAGGAAAGAACGTCATCAAGATGCTGATTTTATATCTGTCTTAATTGAACAATTATTGTAAATGTAGTATGAAAGCAGCGGTAGCAAATTCAAATTTTCCCTCTGTGTCTAGCGTGGAAACAATGTCCCTCAGAAGTGGGAACAACCCTGGTGATATCAGTTCTAGGATGATGGAGAACAGCAAAGCTCAAGATTGCCTTATTCCTATGGGGTAAGTGTTTCCTCTTCCTGAAGTTTAAGGGGGTTTCTAGCTTGCCTGTCTCTTCAGGGATTGTTTTGTTTCAAATGGATCAGCCTCTGAATACAGTCAGCTTAGATCTGTATGTGTCAGCATCCTCCTCAGTTGCAGTAAAAGATTCATTGCGTGAAGTGAAAATCAACCAATCTGATGAGATTCCCTCGCCTTACAGGAAAGCTCAATGGCTTAATGAACACAAATGATTGGGAATCACGGTATTCTGTGTCTAGGATTTTTGGAAATGCTGCTGAATTTCATAATCTGAACATTCACATAGAAAGAAGCAACCATGTCCTAATAAATAGACATAGTGCTGCTATGTGTGCTACTAAAGGTGGAAGGGAACAGCTGCCTTGAACTCTCCTCTCATACATCTGTCTTGCCAGCTTCATTAACCCCCTTGACTTGACCGTGCTTTGGCAAAGATGGGGGCCTTTGGCTTTGCTCATAAATCAACCCAGAGGGGAGAATGGATTTGAACCACGGGTTGGTTGTGGATTTGAACCAAGATCTGCTTCTGCCAAGCAGTTCTGGATTGAGAAGGCAGCAGTTGACTTTGGGAGTGAAGTTGCTGCTTGTACGTCTTTGCTTGTTTTGTCTTAGCGCAAGCTGATTGCAATTCCACTGGATGTGTCATTGGATTAATTCTGTGATGTTTTCCCCAGAATAACCTCAGAAAATGTGGCAGAAAAGTTTGGAGTTTCCCGACAGAAGCAAGATGCCTTTGCCTTGGCTTCCCAACAAAAGTAAATGCATTTTTTCATCTTTTGTTTAAGGAATAAATATAGAAAGAAAAAAAAAACAACCATTGCTACTTCCCACTAGTGGTTAAGTGCAGCCTTTATTGCCTTTGAAAACACAGTAGTGAGTAAGGAAGCCTGAGATAGCTGGAGCAGAGATGAGTATGGATCCTGGGTGGTGTGACAGGAAATGTGAGTCCTGAACTCTCCTGAAAGTCGTATGACTACTCCTTGTGCACGTACCACTGGAAGTGCCAGCCTTAACCATTGAGTACACTTGTGAATTTTCAGCTTCTAAAGGATGCAGCTCTCGTGAACTTTCTGAAACCAATGTACAGCTCAATGTTTTCATAGTGGCTTTGGCTCAGTATCGTTTTAAACTGAAGTTGGGTGTTGCACCAGAGGGAACCTTTCCTAAAGGGGAATATTTGAAAGCAGCCATTTCTAAGGAACTGCTGAGTTTATGAGAAGAGTTGCTTGTCTTTGCTGCGGGTGTTTGGCTAAAGTGAGTCCAGTTCTACCTCTAATAATTCTACCTCTTAGGTAAAATTACTGCCAAAGTAAACTGTCCCTTGGATCCATGGGAATGCATTAGCAAGTCCATTGACAGGGAATGCATTAAAGTTGCTGGCATCAAAGAGTTAATTTAACTTTTAGACGTCTGTTTAAGCGTTGTCCCGGTCCAGTTATTTATCTAATACAGGAAGCCACTGCACAGGCCAGTTAACCTTTGAATTCCGGCCCTGCTTCTAGGGAACTTGGCATGCCAGCCTTTCTCACTGACATGGAGCTGATAACGCAAAAGAGTATGTGAACGCGGTCCTCACCTCTCGCAGGAGGAAAGGAGTGATTTTTCTGGCCTCTGTCTCAGGATGTCTGTGGCTTTACTGATCCGTCCTTCAGCCTTTCACTCTTCCTTTCACTTACCTGAGAGTATTATTTTCATTTTTTTTCATTTTATGAATTAAAGTGTAAAGTGATGAGGGGGTGCAACAAGTTGTGAATCCCAGCCCTTATTCTCTGTAAGGGGTACTGTGCTGCACTGCTGGGAGGTATCATCTTCTCAATCAGCTCTGCAGTGATGGGTTTTAAATACCTTGTTGGTATAAAGGATCTTTTTTTTTTCCCCCCTTTTTCCCTATAAGAATTAAAACTGCCCCGTGTTGATTCTAATTTAGCTAATTGCATTTTCCCTCATGTCAGTTGTTCCTTACTGCAGTGCTTCTGTCACCGTTACCAGACCCGCTCCTCACTGCTCCTTTGTCGCTGAATGGACTCCTTGCTATGTAGTCACATAAATTATGCAACATAAGTTGAAATTGTTTTGAGTTATAATCTGGCATCTAAATGTCACCTTTTACCTATAGTCCAGAGTCCAAAGCTCAACTTGTCTTTAGCAGGACAAAGCCAGGAGGAAGCGAAACTCTAGCCATTTTTTAACTTGTTGGAAATGGTCAGTATTATGTGGAGGCATAGTGGGCTTGCCCTATTTTAAACTCTCAGAAATAAGAATTGACTTCTGAATGTCAGGATTTGTTTTGTTCCAGTTGTGATGCGCCTGTACCGCTAGGCGAGTACAACTTCCTGGCTGTGTGCAGATGGTGGTCAGCAGAGTCGCAAAGGTGTCAGAGGAAACAACTTGGCTGCTGCTCAGAACTGTGTGGTCCTGTCACCTGGGCTTGGGGAGATTCCCCTTTGTGTTAGTGATATATTTCCTATCACATATAGATAAGAAGTTTGTCTTCCCATGAATGGAAATAAGTATTCACATTATCTTCCCATATATTTCTCAGCAATGGTGTATTTGTAAACCAAGCACACTGAATTCATACTTCTACTAACTGGTTTGGTGCACCTCTTGCAACTTGCCTTCAGACTACTTTAAACTTTCATACTCTTCTTCAACAGAGCAGCAAAAGCTCAACAGATGGGGCTGTTTAAAACTGAGATTGTTCCAGTGAAGACCACTGTTGTAGATGACCAGGGCAACCAAAAAACCATCACTGTGCACCAAGATGAAGGGATTAGGCCCTCCACTACTCTGGAAGGCTTGGCAAAGCTGAAGCCCTCTTTCAAAGAGAATGGTAGCACTACAGCAGGTCAGTTCCGTTAATAAATTCGTATGGTTGTTGCTGCCATTTGCCTGCCTTGTACTAAAAATGTGCTGAGCCAAAAGATGTACTAACGGATCTTTTCCAACAGGCAATGCCAGCCAGGTCAGTGATGGAGCAGCTGCCGTTCTCCTGGCAAAACGGTCGAAAGCTGCGCAGTTGGGGCTGCCCATCCTGGGGGTGCTCAAGTCCTTTGCTGTGGTTGGAGTCCCGCCTGACATTATGGGCATCGGACCAGCCTACGCCATCCCGGTTGCTGTGGAGAAGGCGGGTAAGGAACCACTCACTGTTCATACAGTGTTCAACGCAAGGCATATCAGACTCTGTAGACTCAGATTTGAGATGATATAATTTTAGCACGTGCAGCCATCAGCAATAGGAACAGTGAACTTAAATTCGAAACCTTGAAAGCAGTTCTACCTGGGATTATTGTAATACTGTTTACTTGTACTAATGTATAAATTGTCATTTGCTCACACTTTCGAAGCCCAGGATTAAATCCTTGTACAGTCCCAACAAATGGTTAATGTGTGGCAAGTGATTCAGAGCTCATTTAATGCTGTTTTCCTTAACGTGACTTGGATGTTCTTCTGTGACTCTACACCAGTGAATCGATCTTGCTAGTAATGAACCCTTACAGCTTAGATCAGTTCGGGTTCCCTTTGCTACTTAGGCAGTCAGAAGTTAAAATTTTGGGGTCTGACTGGTGGGTTAGGCTTTCCTCAGAGTTCTCACCACTCTCACAGGGTTGAATAGCTTTTATAGCCCATGATTACTGTTGTGTGTGCCTGTCGTCATTGTGATCGTGTGCTCAGCTAGTTTTATCTTTCAGTCTTGAAATACCCTTTCGATCTTTAATTCCTCTGCAAAAAAAAAAAAAAAAAAAAAAAACACCTTTAATCTAAGGAAGTTTGGCAAGCTCAGTGACGTGATACCAAGGAATGTGGTGTTTTGCAGCCTTTAGACATTGTTATACATACACATGCATATAAATATACACGCCCCATAGAGAGCCAAGGTCACCCTTTTCTTTGCACCGGTGGAGTAGAACCAGGATTCATAAAGGGAGGCGTTAATCGAATTGCTCTCTTTGATGGAGGTGTACGGCAAAAATATCTCCTTTTAAATCCTGACTTTTCTGAACCATAGGTTTGACTCTGAATGATATTGATATATATGAAATTAATGAAGCCTTTGCTAGCCAGGTGAGTGATCATCTTGTTTAACTTGTTATACTGCTTGGTAACAAGGGACATTACAGCTTGGTATCAACTTCAGCTTCAAATTAAGATTTGAACTTGTTCCACACATTAAGAATTTAACAATGGATATGTAAAAACATGGACAGACTACTTTCCTTTTTTCTTCAAATGAAAACAAGCAGGATGTTGCTTTTACATATATATATATACATATATATATATATAAATTGGACAGATCTGTCCACAGAATGCGAACCTTTGTAACCTCATACCAGCTTGCAAAATTTGCTGTTTCATAAGGGATGTAAGACTGAGGAGACCACTAACTGTTCTCTGCAGTCCTGTTTACTGCCTGTTGCAGGAAAGCTGGGAACTAACAGAGGCAAGAATATCTCTGTGAAGTGATTCCCTGTGTTTCTCTAGGCCGTGTACTGTGTTGAAAAGCTGGGCATTCCCATGGAGAAGGTCAACCCCCTGGGAGGAGCCATAGCACTGGGGCACCCACTGGGCTGTACCGGCGCTCGTCAAGTTGTCACTTTGCTCAATGAATTGAAGCGCAGAGGGAAAAGGTGAGCCGTGAAGAACAGTATTAGCCTAAGCCCTTTAAATGTATCTTAAGTAATTTAGGCTCAGAAGTAACCGTCAGTTTGGGTTATGCTTTTGGCATGTTATGCTTTAGGGATTTCTATCCCTTTGATAGCTTTAAAGGTGACTTCTCCGGGGTTTTCTTTACACAGGGCTATATATTGTCTTGCTATAGCATGGAGTTGCAGCAGCACTGGGAGAGCAGCAAGTGTGAAGTCAGATGGGAGGGCTGGGATCTCTGTGACAGTTCGGTCCCAGCCAAGTGCCCAGGACTCGCTCTCTTTCTGATGCATGGAAGAAGCCCTGTAGCTACTGCTGGCTAGTGCTGTCGCTCCCTTTGGGGGCTTTGGGGGTTGCACATACAGTCTTACTGGGCTTCACTGTAGGGTGAGCTGTACCCTGGCCTACAGAGGACAACAGTGGTGGCAGGCTGTTAAATGCCAAGCAAATCAGGCAAGAACAAGTGAAGTGTCTTTAACTGAGGTGGAAGAATGTGCTCTGAAATTGGGCTTTTGGCAAACTTCCCAGAACTCCCATTTATCCATAAATCCTGCTGGACATCATCTGATTGTACAAATTCATCTTGAGTAGCACATAGCACAGCCACCTAAAGCACAGTAGTAGGAGGCAGGAAAGGAAGAATTTCTTTCTCGTTATAACCCATCTGAATCAAAGCAGTTCTTCTATCTAGACCTCAATAATAGTATGTTTGAGGCAGGAGGTTGCTTCTGGCACACTGCTCCCATCAAGAAAGCAGGCGGATACATATGTATCTAGTTAAAGTGTTCTTAGTGACTCTGGAGAGCAGTGGGTAGCTCAAGGGTATTGTATTCTCTCTCTTTTTCCTTCCCCCCCCCGCATGGATAATCTAAACCTTAATGTGTCATCGTCTTAAGCCTGTGCATTCTTCTGTTTCAGAGCATACGGTGTGGTATCAATGTGCGTTGGAACAGGCATGGGAGCTGCAGCAGTATTTGAGTACCCAGGGAACTAAACTCCAGTGTACTGAGGACACAATGCAGCACCTAATTCTCTGCCTTCTCTAGTACTAGCAAATGATTTGCACTGTGAAATCAAGTGGATTCAGGGATTCAGGCACCCTAACATGAGAAAAGAAATGAGTTCAGCTGAACTTCAAATACAGGCCCAGGTGTGATGGTTATGATACTTGATCCTTTTATTCCATGAATATTATCAGAGAGTAGTAGTTCATCAGAGAATCTCCTTGTTTGACAAATTTTCTACAACTGTCACTAAAAATGAAAATGTCAACGTTCATGATGTGGCTTTTTGAGGATTTTCTTAAAGATCTTTGTAAGAATCAGTCTTGTTAGAGTTCTAGAAAGGCTTTTTTTTTTTTTTTTTGTGTTAGCAATGCAGAGATGTGAAACATCCTTTCCTTTATCTCAACACTGTTCTGTTCAAGTTGTAAGTTGGCTATGTCTTAAATTGACCATATGCTGAACAGTGTGCTTTGGCATTGTAACATTTTTTTTAAAAAAAAAAAAAACAAAAACAAAACTGTTGTGAAATCTCTAGAGGGGCAAAATGGAAGGATTAGCAATTAGTGCACTCACCAGCCAGGCTTCTCTTGTCAAACAAACTGTTGGGGTGCCTGAATAGAAAAGGTTTGATAATTGCTAGAAGCTAGGGATTTCGAAATGGTCATTCCATCTTTTACAAAATTTTTGCATTAGCTTGTGTGATTCTAGCTTAGAAGACAAGGTCGTGTTTAGTGATATTAAATTACTTAACATGGAACAGGTTTCAGCATATCATTCTTGCTGCAAGCACTACATGACTATCAGCAACATGCTGAGTACTTCAGTGCCGGTGCAGATGTATACCTTTCATACTGTAACATTCTCCCGTATGTGTTCTCCTCTTATGAGCAGAAAGATCATTAAAATTCAGCACTGACTACTTGAAAAAGAAATATACTCATTGTCTTTGACACGTTAGAGAAGTTTAAATTTGTAACACTGACTGAAGTACTTTGTCCTGGCTCATGCTTTTTGTACTTAATACGATCGGGTTCTTGCAATATATTATATTGTTCTCGTTATGATTGTTAGTTGAAGGTTATGATTAACTAGAGCTATTTTATATTCTCACATTCCTGTTCTCTTGCCAATCTCACTCTGCAATCACGCATGCTGCGTTTTGGAGCAAAAGGATGGAATTATCCAGAGTGGGCAGAAAGGCACTTTACATCTTCAAGGGTCCATCTTGCACACCGAGGTTCTTATGGACAAAATGAGTTGTCATTGCTGGAACAAGTCTGCCTTAAACTAGGCCGAAGGCAGCGATTGTCATCTTTTGTTCTCCTCCGCTGTGGATTGCAGCCCCTTCCTCCCCACTCACACTGCCTTTAACAAAGGTCTTTTACATGATGGGAGTGGAAAATGTAACAGGCTCCAAAGTGGGAATTTCAGTGACCTTTACATGTTTTTAATATTACTTTAGCTAAAAAGAAGTGCGAGCAAATGGGAACCATGTGAGGGGAAAGAATTAAAAGCAAGATTGGTTCCTCCCTTTGTAGCTGAAGGGGCTGTTCTCAATACCCAAGCATGATGAAACATGCAGGTTGGTGATTTTCCAAGGAGTCTAGGGAAAGCTAGCTATCCCCTTTTCATGTAAGGCACTGAGCAAACAGCCAGTGCGAATGCTGACCTTAAGTCACTATTATTTGTCAATGTCCGTTTTAATGGGAAATGGGAAAAAACCAACACGAAACAAAAGCTGCTTCTTAAGGTACCAACAGTCTTTTGATTGTAACTTGAGCATATGCAAAGGGATTTTGGCCTGTTAGCATAGCTGCTTTGAAATTTAAAATTGATTATTTTGTAGAGCTGGCTTTGTGGGTACTGGTAAGCTCAGCACAGCAATAAAAGTAATAGCACAGGATGAGATTGTGACTGTTTTTTGAAGTGCCGTGAACTTTTTATTCTTCATAGCTTCGAATTTTGTTCTGTGAAAATGCCAGTTCATTAAACTGGAATTCCAGTTCATGTCATAAAGACTGAAGCAGATAAAATAGCGACTCAGCTAATGCTATTTCTACATCTGAGCTGTTGTCTTGACATTTATCCCACAGAGTCTTGCTTAAAATATATTTAGATCTTCATACTTTTCATCGTTTGTTCCTCGTCCCCTGATCCGTAGCTTGCAAGGCTTCTCTCCCAGCATTCCAGTAATGGTCACAGAAGTTTCATATTCAGTGTTACTCCTAAAATGCAAAGGGAGAAGCCAGTTTAATTACAGCTGGACATAATTCTCTTGTTCAGGATGAGACTAGTTACTCTGTGGAGGAAAAAGGAGCAAATGGTGCCCTAAGGTATAAACTGTTCCTACTGATGCACGCTAGTCTAAGCCTAGTATCAAGCCTGCAAGCAGCAATTTAGCTTCAGTTTCATCTCCCACTGCTACATGTAGGACGTGTTAAAAGAATGCTAGTCTCCATCTCAGGTAAAGATGCTGGGTTAACTTAATGTTTGAAAGAACTGGAGTGTCTTCCTCCTTGCAGAATTAAATTTTATTTAAAAAAAAGGAGTCACAGTTCTTTTGGGGGTTGGGAGCAAATGCCTGCACTATCTTGATGCGACAGCTTCCCTCCCTGTGACAGACAAGTTTGAAACTAAAAAGTTTCTGTTGACTCCGGTAAGACAAGGGATAATCAGCTGAGTCCTGGTTTTAAATGAACATCAAAAAGCTTACAGTAGGTGTAGTGTGTAGTTTTATTACCGCTGCTGAGTGGATGCCTTAGGCAAATTATGCTATAAGGCAAACTACCCAGCGCTCTAGAGACCGTTCATCTGAAGTACTTCCCAGGCACTGAAAGATGGCTGTTGTAAAGGCCTGAGGCAAGAGTGTCGTCCGCCAAATAACTTTTATTCTTCCTTCTTATACAAAATTCCCCTGCAGGAAGATCCCTGATTTAGGGAGGTGACTTACTGAAATCATTTCACATCTTGTATATGATTATTTTACTAATGCCATGCTGTGTCTGAGCACTGCTGTGTTAGGAATTCATAGTCTGGAGCTGAACAGAAGAGTTGGCTGTTATTCAGCAACATATTTGCTTTCTGGTAGTTTCTGGCATGCTGATTAGTATATCCATTGTCAGACAAAAGGAAGGGCTTTGGGAATATTCAAAGGCATTCTAGAAAACTTCAGGCTCCAGGAACCTCTGGAGGTCTCTAGTCCAAAAGCCCTGCTCAAAGCAAGGCCAACTTCCAGCAGGTTGCTCAAGGCCTCGTGCCCCTGAGATTTCAATAGCTCCAGTGACAGGGATTTCACAATCTTCTAGAATGCTGAAGTTATGACAACAACTCTTATCACATGTAGTTCCCTTTTGAAACTCACCTGTCAGCAGTGCTCAGAGTTCACTGTCTCGCCACTAGAATCACTGGTGTAGACTGTCCTAATTAAATCAAAACTTTCTGCCATGATGGGATAACTTACATGCAGTGTGTCTCAGGCTTAAATAAAACTTAATGTCTTTTGCGGGGGGGGGAACGTCATCGGAGCTTTCCTCTGACCCCCTCAGCCAGGGAAATCATTTGTAATGGAAGCTAAATTTTCCCAGAGTTGCATTTCCCTAATAAAAACAAAGAAATTGAAAGCTTTGGGTCACTGCTTCTGCTATTCACCAGTAAATCTTGCTCTCTTCTGGTCTTTACTGTCATCTGCCTGCAGCCCACATCATTATCTTTTGCTGTTGTGTAGGAAACCTTTGGACTAGACATGGCAAAAATGCATTAGTTAGTTAGTTGTTTTATGGGGGGGGGGGAACCCATCAGCATAGCTCTTTTGGTAAACGTTGAACTGGTCTACTTTAAGCAAGAGGGGAACAAATTATATCACTGCATTGGAACGATATTTCGGTCTATTTGCTTTATCAGCAGGTACTCTGAATGCCTATAGGGAATTAAAGGAATTCAACAAATTATTTTAGAGAGAAGCCACGTAAACTAGAATGAAGGATCCCTGAGTTTGCTTGCAAAGGACATAGCATAGCACTTTCATGCAAGATGAACAGATGTTTTTACTGGAATTTTGAACTACTCCAGACATATAAAGGACTCAGCTTTCCTATCTGCTTCTGCACGGACTGACAGGCCTGAGATTTGCCTTCTCTCAGGGACATTACTCTAAAGAAGCCTCAAGGGGCTTTTATCAAGTGCTCCCTAGCTGGTGTGTCATACCAACAGTTGTGAGAGCATGATTTCATCTGGGTAAATCTACAGTCTGAAATCCAGGGTGATAATTCCAAAAGAAATCCCTTCTGTAGGAACAGCATAAGGAATATGGTTGGATGGAAAAAGCACCAGCTGGATAGCACAGGAGTGGGAATTGCCAGAAGTGAAAAAAAGGAGCAGCATTCCTCTCTGCTTTCAGTGACTACTCCGCCTTATGCGAGGGCTTATCGGGGAACATAGCAAGAGTTCAGCTCTGTTACTGTACCTGGCTGTAAAGCGGATCTGCAAAATGCCTTTGGTGGGTAGGTCCCCTTCACGTGCCTCCAAAATGCCATTAGCGGGGGAGACAGAAAATACCTCTGGGTCTTTAAGTCTTTCCTGTTCATCTGCAGTGAAGAAAGCAAATATCAAACAAAGCAATATAAGACCCCTTTTAAAGTTTTGTACCTCATGCAGCACTCATGTAAGAAAACAATGCATCTCCTTGCTTGCCAACTAATGAATCAGGGGGTGCACTGTAACAGACTGTTTTCTATGCATGTGGGAAGCTTCCGTTTTCATCCTTTAATCAAGGGCACTGATCGATGGCCTCTGTGACAGACTAACAAGGTCCTGATCTACTTTCCTTTGAAGCGCATCTGTTGTTAACCTCATTAGGCACCGACTCAAACTGAACTCATGGTGGCTGCTTCTTGACATCTCTTGGGGTTGTGTTATAAATGAGCAAAGCATGTCCACTCTGACAGTTGTGATTCGATCTTTTGGTTAAATCTAGTATAACTACTGAAATCAGTAGAGCTACACTGATTTAAAGAAAAAACACACAAGAGAGATCAGAAACAGACCTAGTATGTTGGAGTGAACGTCATTAAATACGGGCTACGTACTGACTGAGTGCATGTAGTCTTACTAAATAAAAAGACTGAATAATGAAACTATATAACAAAGGAAATAATTGAATTTCAAAACCAGAATACCTAGCAGAGCAGTCCAGTAACTTCTACAGCCACTCCTATTACACAGGAAGACATGTTCAGTCTTGGTTCGTGCAACAAAGCAGGTCTCAAAATCCAGTGTGTCGCAAGAAAGCTCCAGTACTGGAACAGTAAGGTATGCAGTCACTGGGACCAGCTGCAAAAGAGCAAGAGAGGAAAGACAAAGACAAATGATTGTTATTTTGTAGTGCATTACCATTATCAGCTATAGCTGAATCATTCTTACCTCAAGCACTGAATCAAGATTACTTCTGTCGCAGCACACATTCTACGTTCTTTTCTAATACAGTCAATCCTCCCTTCTACAGCTCTGAGTAAATTAGGTTGTTGACAGTTTGACTGTTTTGGGATAGGTTTTCAGACCAGACACTGTGATCGTAATGAATTAACACAGAGTGAACGTTCTGATTTATTACTAGGGTTTTCTATGGAGATGCAGACATTACAGCATCTTGTGGTCCCTTAGGACTGTATATGGCCCACTGTGAGTCATGGAGTTTGTGCAGATTGCCTAAGATTATTAAATTGACTGTATCTTAGATATGGTGCTTGGTTCTTACAGATCAATCCTCAGAAATATTTGGGATGAAAAAATTACCTGCAGTGTACTGGAACCGCTGAAGATTTGTGGGGTTTTATAGCTTTCCATCTGGAATAAATCAGTCTTGAAGTGTATGAGGGCTGTGGTCACATAACAGACTCGGGAGACTTTCAGAAACACTTGGGTACTGCAGGAGGCAGTGCTTGGTGACTCAGTCCCTGGCGTGTTCATTGAGACAGTCCTGACCCCATGTCTCAGAAGGACGTTGAGAGGCCTACCGTGATTGGGTGTGTTGCCCTTTTGTCAAGATGATGTATCATCTCGGCCTCCATGCTGAGCAATCAAACAGTGCTCTTGCAGAAAGTAGGGACAGGAACACCAGGGTGCTGATGCAAAACCTTTTCAATAGAAAGCTATCTCCCTTTACAAATTTGTGGCCATTCGTGTTGACTGGATGACACAATTCACTCTAGGGGTGGCTGTATTTCAGGGCTGAGTACATCTTAAGGCATACTCCTTCTGAATCAAAGATGCTTCTAAAACATAGCCCTTTCTCAGTGCCCAGAGCTGTCATTTTCTTATGTTACCTGGGCTGTGCGGTTACTATATTCAATGACCAGATTTTGATCAAACTTCAGCTTCCTATCTCCATTCTCAAACTGGAGCACTTGGAATCCAGGAAGCAGCTGGCTGGCTGGCAGATGTTGATACGTAAGTAACTCCAGAGTTGTGTGAAATGACACTTTCACCTGTGGGAAGAGGAATTTGGATGATCATCACACAAGAAGACACTCTGTGCAGGAAATCCAAAGTAAATACTGCTCAAAGGCCCAAGCACACATTTCCCCACTGGAACCCCAAGGTGTTATGCCAATGACCAAATTCCCACTGGAACACAGCTTTTTAATGGACAGTCATAGGAAATAGCTATGTTTTATCTTTAAACTAGTACAGAGAGATGGCGTGTAAAGGTGAACAGCCAAACTCTGGAAACCGTCTCTAACGAGACAAAAGTTCTAAAGCCTCGAGGCTACAAAGATATTCCCAAAACGGGCTTAAAAATATAAGTCTTCCTTCTTCCTGCATGCAGAATTAAGCCTTGTGTGTCTCTAAGTCAAAATGTACCCTGAAAAAATGAGAAGCACACTTTAAAAATGCAGGTGCCTAATAGGGTTAGGCACTCTTTGCACCCTAGCTAATTCTTGAATCCAGGACTTTGTTTCCTTTAATGTCATCAAGTACAGCCAAAAGTGACCGAATTATTCTCTGTCTGCACTCCCTGCACCTTATCTTGGGATCTGAAATGAGGGAATGCAGGTTTTGGAGATCTTATATTTAGTGCAACATATATTTAGCCTTTGATTTAGAGGCGCCCCAGAAACCACATAGGGTTTTCTTCAAGGGTCTGCAACAAGTCAGAAACACTGAGGAAAGCACAGCAGGACCATGGTGGGAAAATATTTTGTACCTGCAGGCAAAATTGCAGTAATTAGCGTTTGCCAATATCCCACTGCTTCCCCTGAAATGAGTGGATTTCTATACTGACTGTGTTTTTTCTCTGGTTCATCTGGGCCATGCTAACACACCAATTACTAAACTATCCATTCTGGCACAGAATTATTATTTTTGAGCCTACCAGCATGTTTTGCTGTGGATAAAGTGCAAACTGCGGCTGTTGCTCTTTTTCTTCCTTGTTGCTGTGGGATGTTTTGGTGCTCTTTTTGGGATCTGTGCTGGACAGGCTGAAGGGCGTAGACAGAAGCAGCCTGAAGTAGAGAGGAACCTTGGTGCAATTGATGAGTTTCAAACTCTGAGTCATTACTGAATCTGTCAAAACCTGGCAGAGAAATGATTCAAAACTGGTCAGTTTAAACTCCCTTGAGATGTCTGTGCTAGTCTGTCTGGACATTTAGCGGCATCAGGGACATGAAAGACACTATTCTAAAGCAGCCCAATCTTTTCTACTTGTGTTTTTCAAAATTGCTTCAGTAAAAACCCAAATTACAAACAATGTAATGAGGTTTAAAATGTCCTCAAATGTCAAGGGTTCCAGAAACTGACCACACCATTCATTCTAAGTGACTCATTCTGGTATCAGACCTTTATGTCCTGCAAATAAATACTTACTTTTCTACTTAAGGTTACTCTATAAAAAAAAAAAAGAGGGGGGAGGAGAATGAATTATGAAATAGCTATTTTCTGAACTGTTTCACTTATTTCTAGCTTGTAGGTACTCCTAGTCCTCTAGTTTTACATACTTTATGTGCAGTATTGAAAACTGCACTATGAGGACATTGGTATTAAAGAAAGATGTATATTAAAGACCAAGCGCATGCTGCTGTGAATTCTCATAGTAGCACAGCAGTGGAAAACAGCTGAGTAAACCAACGTGTGAGGTACTTACTCCTAACAGAGGCTGAGCTGGGATGAGATCACTTGCCATAGAGTAAAATACCATTCCTTCATCATGATCCACGTCCACTTTTAACCTGAATGTAAGGAATTAGAGCGGGTCAGAACTCTTCTCTGCAGGCCCACATGTTCTGTGAGTGCACGCGCTGTCGGCGGGATAGTACTTACAGTGCATGCGTGATGAAAGCTTGCAAGTTTATTTGTAATGGTGGAGCTTCATAGCCGTGTCTACGATGTACTTTGTTAGGCACTGTCTGTGCGAACTGACAACAAAATGAAACAGAAACGATGTATAAATGATAGCACTAAAACCCCAAACCCTAACTTTTAGGCTGAGAAGCTGTTAGCTGGAGAGGAATTCTGCTTGACAACACATTACCTGTTTGTAAGACGTGATGGCAACGTGCAAGGAAGAGCAAAAGCTGAGCAGTATTCTGAACTCTGAATGGCTGTGGTTAGTACAGAAGCAGATGCTGCTTTCTCTTGTTATTAGGGAGGTTTTTATTAAACGTTATATTATCATTCATTAGTTACACTTTGCACCTTTGTAACGATTGATGTCAGAGACTCTCAGAGCGATTCATAAAGCACTATTCACACCTCCCACTAGCCTGTAAGCTGCACTTGCAGTTTTTGAAGAGGAAGTTTCCCAGTGGAGAAACATGCTTGTCCAAATTCACACAGGAAGGTAGATGCAGAGCCAGGAACAGAACTCAGCAGTCCTGAGTCTCAGTCCCATTGTTAGCTATTGTTATCAAGAAAACCTGATGTTGTGATAGTGTTTCAAATCCTGGACCTTCAGCTGGTGTCTGCTGTACGGGACAATGTTAAGAATATGGTGACGGTCAAAAACCACACCCCCCCCCCCAACCAAAAACAA